GATCAAAAGGATGCGCTTCCATCCCGTTGGCCACTTGCCAACTATGCCCCTCTCTCTCCCTCTCCCACCTTTCTCTATATAAACCCATCAATGCTTTCCCAAACCCCACCAGCAGAAGATCCCTTCTCAAAACCTCTGTATCACCCCCAGTTTTGACGACCGAAGGGATGGGGATGGCTTACAGCCTTCTTCTCAGCTTCCTTCTCCTGGCCCTTGCAACCTTGCTCTTCCTCAAAAAGCGCAAGAGGAAATCCCAGGACGGGTATAAGCTCCCACCTGGTTCCATGGGATGGCCTTACGTGGGAGAGACGCTTCAGCTTTACTCGGAAGACCCCAATGTCTTCTTTGCCACCAAACAGAAGAGGTACCCATTGCTCTCTCGTACATGATTTTCTGAATGAATTCGAAGACTTCGTTGTGGTGAATGGGGCTCAATGGTGGTGGGGATGGGGGTGCGGCGTGTTGTCGCAGGTACGGCGAGATCTTCAAGACGCACCTGTTGGGCTACCCGTGCGTGATGCTGGCCAGCCCCGAGGCGGCGAGGTTCGTGCTGGTGACGCAGGCTCATCTGTTCAAGCCGACGTACCCGAGGAGCAAGGAGCGGATGATCGGGCCCCGGGCGCTCTTCTTCCACCAAGGCGACTACCACATGCGGTTGAGGAAGCTCGTCCAGGGCTCGTTGTCGCCGGACGCGCTTCGCGGCCGCGTCCCCGACATCGAACGCATAGTGATCTCCATGTTGGAATCATGGGTGGGTCAGGAGGTCAGAACCTTTCATGCAATGAAGAAGGTCGGTAGACTTTGGCCTGACATGACAACATAATAGCTAGTACCTCTGTGCCACCTTGGCTTCACTTCAATTTTCGCTACAGTTATCTTTTGATGTCGGTATCCTCACCATCTTTGGGGGCCGATTGGACGAGCGGTACAAAGTAGAGCTGAAGAAGAACTACTTCATCGTCGACAAGGGCTACAATTCCTTCCCCACGTACATTCCCGGGACCCCGTACCACAAGGCGATCCAGGTAAGCAAGGATTCTGATCGCCCCGCCGTCGTCTCTTCCAGCTCCGCTCCTGCTTTATCTACAACCCGTACTCGGTTCTTTTCCGCGTGAAGGCAAGGAAACGTTTGCGCGGCATACTGAGTGAGATCATGAAGGAGAGGAGGACGAAGGGAGTCACAGAGAACGATCTGTTGGGCTGCCTCATGGACTCTCGGGACGAAAGGGGGGAGCACCTCAACGACGACCAGATCGCCGACAACATCATCGGCGTACTGTTTGCCGCACAGGACACCACGGCCAGCGTCATGACATGGGTGCTAAAGTTCCTCCACGACCACCCGAAGCTTCTTGAATCTGTCAGAGTAAGAACACCGAAGCACCGAGTCATGATCAGTTCGAGAACTAACTTGTTAGCAGGGACACTGATCGGACCTCGCCATCGTTTTCATGTAGGCGGAGCAAATGGTGATCCAGCAGAGCAACGAGTTTGGAAGTCGACCCCTGACATGGGGGCAAACGCGAAGCATGGCTCTAACTCACAAGGTGAGTAGATGTGTGTGCGTGCGTGTGAGGACTTCTCTTCCCCCTTTGCACAAGTGATGATAGTGGATACCTCTCTTTCATCGACTGTCTCTCTGTGCTTATGATTGACCATGGCAAGTGGTGTACTTCTCTTCTGATCCAGGTTATATTGGAGAGTTTAAGGATGGCGAGCATCATTTCTTTCACTTTTAGGGAGGCTGTGGCTGATGTGGTGTACAAAGGTAATTGAGCACGAGTAACGCCATAACAGTGGCCTGTGTACGTAGTGTTTCATACTGTAACTGTGAAGTATTAAGCCAAATGGTCATGGAACGCAGGATACCTTATACCAAAGGGTTGGAAGGTGATGCCTTTGTTCAGGAACATACATCACAATCCAGAATTCTTTCGAGAACCGCGGGTGTTCGATCCTTGTAGATTCGAGGTATGATCTACGCATACATAGTTTCTTTCATGTCTTTTATGTCTTGCATGCCTTCTCGGTTACGTTGTTCGCGTCATAAATATGACTGCTTGCCTCTGTAAAAGACTCGATTTCCTTTATTTTGGGGAACCGTAGACTTGATAAAGATAGTAATCGTGTATACACAGGTTGCTCCGAAGCCCAATACTTTCTTGCCATTTGGGAATGGAGTTCACGCTTGCCCCGGCAATGAGCTGGCGAAACTTGAAATGCTCATTCTGATCCATCATCTTGTGACCAAATACAGGTTATAGCACGCTCAAAGATTGTACTGCTGTCTTCATCATCACCAACTGGTACTGATAGCTTGGGGTGCATGGTGATGCAGGTGGGAGATTGTGGGACACCAAGGTGAGGTGGAGTACTGCCCTTTCCCGGTGCCCAAGCAAGGACTTCCGGCCAAGCTGTGGAGAGTCACCGGCGGCAGCGAAGAAGCAGGACAAGGACGTCCGCCTGCGTGAGCGAGAAAACCTGATGCTACTCCATTTTAACCTATCCTGTATAATGAATGATCCCTGAGGGCTTCTCCCCCGGAAGAAGAGAGAGGGGTCGACTCTCCTCTGTTCCCCCCCCACCCCCCCTAATTTTTGTTCTCCAATTGTGTTAATCCTTCCAACATATATTTTAATTCAATGAAATGGAGTTCTTCTTTCTTAAAGTGGTGCGTCTGCGGTCCCTCAACGTGCATGTTTCCTTTTCCCACTCAGTCGCCGTTCCATGATCAGATGGCGAAGTATCATCATAACCTGTGACATCACCCTCCACGCGACGGGGGACCCGCTGCCACATTCCATGTGCTCGGGGTCGCCATGTGTCGCGCCGCGCGGTGCTCCAGGTGTGTGTCCTCGGCCGCCTCAGGTGGCCACACAAGTAGGAGGAGCCGAAAGGCTGCATGTGCCCCGAGGAACAGGACACGACGTGCTCGTCTCACACCGGACGTGTGGACGACGGTGCAGCGACGGTAGGATTCGGCAGTGGAGACGGGGATGTGGATGCCCCATGTGCGGTTGTACCAACAAGTCCTCGGAACAGCCTAGCCGGGGTTCCCCCTCGTTGGGGGTCACACAACAGAACCATCACCGGCACCGGCACCGGCACCGGCCTGAGAAGTCTCTGGAGAGCTGAGGCATTTGATACTGACCCTTGCACAGCAATGTGGGCGCTGCAAGTCCCGTGTCATCTCAGCGTGCACTCAAATTAAGCATTCAAAGCTAGTTAGACGTTCTTTTGTTTTTCTCGATCGATCGGTCATGACCAAACATTGCGTGCAAGTTTGTTTATCCAAACATGACCAAACAAATTTAGGTTAGGTATCAAGTAATTTGACTTGTAGAGCTCCATTACTAGATACTTCGAAGTTCTCATCGAACCAATGAACTATATGAGCACCGTAGCATACTCAAATCACATCTTCCGCTAAATCGTCAGGTTGACATCATATCAAAATCTCTACCAGATCGTGTGTTGGATTTTGCCGCCTCGACGAGCCCACCCCTGCAGCTGCATCACTTTCGGGTCCTCAGGCCACAAAGCGACGACATTAGCGATCAGAGCTGTAACATCTTAGGATGATATCCACAGGATGAGTTTCGTATGGAAGACAAATTTTCTGCAGCATTCTAGGCATCGAGATTTCAACGCTCTAGTGATTTCACGAGGGTTTAGGCTCGTCACCTTCCCACGCATTCGTCAACGTCGACAGGTGAATGTGGGGGGGCACTGTGCCGGTCTCTTCTGGAATCGAGAGGAGTCGTTGAAATTGAGTGGCATGGCAAATATAGTGTGCCGGAGGGAGACATACTTCCGGAAGTCATGTCCTTGCATAGAAAAATCGGTGAGTTGATGGAGACTTGTCGAGCACCATTCGAAGTCACTGCCATACGAGCAACGCCGACTTCACTTAGCACAGAGGCAAGGAAAGAACGCAATGCTCGTGGCATTATAACGTTGAGCAGCTTCCATACGGGACTCCTGTGAGCCATTTCATCGCCTACTTCTCAACATCATCGTTCGGTGACTCCTGGTGGATCGTACAAGCCGTCAAGGGGAAAGATCAATGGAGTAGACGTATCACTTGCTTCTAAGAGTGTCGACAGACTTGCATTCGTAGCTCGCAATAGATTCGGAGACTGATGTTGATGGTATGACGAAGCAGATAAAGAATTTAATGGATACAAAGAAAATTTAAACGGATACAGAAGTTAAATGTCTTTAACGAGACAAAAGAAAATTTGGAAGGATTCATATATCAGCCGAGTCAAATGATGACGCATGACTATATCTACTCCTCTATTGAGATAATTCCACAGCTTCTAAGATCAGTATACTTTAGAAGACATTGACACCTCGATATCGATATCTCTCCATAGACTATGAGATGACTTGTGGAGTAAGTTTCTGACTTAAGCATCGAAGAAATATAGTCGGAATACTCTCGATGTCTCTTATGATGTTCGATAAGTTTCTCGTCACTCTGCGTGGTAGATTTATCCTCAAATCAATCTATTCACTCTTTTGCATCTCTAGTTTATTTCATGTCATTATTGTTCTTAAATAGTGATTAATTCAAATATTATTATTTTAATAGCTGAAACAGAATTTAATATACTAAAAGCAAAATAAAATATTGGATTTAATATAGAAAGTAACTATGATGATAATTTTATTGAAACAGAAAAAAAAAAATCATGTAATTGTTGACTTGGAACACTTTAGGTGGGAGCCAAAGAGCCGATATCAAATGAATATTTGGACAATTTCATTAGAGTGACTGATTGATTGATTGATTATACTTCCTCAAAGTAGAAAAGGTAATCATCCTAATTACCTACGGAACACATTTTTAATTCATTTCACTGTGTTCCAAGTTCATATCAGTGGCAATGTGCAGTATTTTTGCTTGTATCATCAAAATCAAGTCGCTTTCCACTCTGTTCTAAACACGTCCAAAGAAATTGACAAGTTGAGAGAGGGGGATTGAATCAAGAACAGAAGACGAGAAGAGATTATTCTCATTTATCTGGTTGTTTCGATTTGCTTCTGCCATAAAAACATACTGTTCTAATGGCGGAATCAGAAGAGACTAACGTTTTCTGTGACTGTGGAATATAACAGAGCATCTCCGCGTTACAAGAACTATTGAATCTCTCAGTTTCCACCGAGCTGCTCCTCCTCTTCGTCCTCTTCCCTCTCCCTGCGGACGGCGCCGAAGTGCTCCACAAGGATGTCCACCACCACCGGCACCAAGTCCTTGCACGGCACCGCCTTCTTGTGCAGGTCTCCCAGATGCGAGTCGCTCCCGATTCTCCCACCCAAGTAGATGTCCGCCCCCTCGCACACCTTCCCCTCCGCATCCCTGGTCATACACCCCATGAAGCCGATGTCGGCCACCTGCACCTGCCCGCAGGTGTTCGGGCAGCCGGTCCAGTGCATCCTCACCGCTCGCCCCAACGACACCCTCTTCTCCACCTCCTCCGTCACCTGCATCGCCCTCGCCTTCGTCTCGATGATGGCCTGCCCGCAGAACTGGTTCCCGGTGCATGCCACCAGCCCTTTCATCAGCAGGGGGGGCTCCGGGGAGAACCTCTCCTTCAGCAGCGGCTCGTCCAGCAGCGCTTCCACGCGCGCGTCGTCGACGTTGGGGATGATGACGTTCTGCTCCACGGTGAGGCGGAGCTCGCCGGAGCCGTACTCGTCGGCGAGGCGGGCGAGCTCGAACATGTCGGACGCCTGCACCCGGCCCACCGGGATGTGAAGGCCGACGAAGGAGAGGCCGGGCTGTTTCTGGGGGTGGACGCCGAGGTAATCCCTTCGTTCCCATTCCTTCTGCACCAGTTCCTCTGCGGATGCCCTCTCCAGCAGCTCCTGCGGCATCCTTCTCTCCACTTCCGATCTGAACGCTTCTATGCCCTGTCGCAATACCACAAACATCAACCACATGGAAGACCATATGCACATATAGATCTGGGAGCAGCAGAGATGAGGAAGAGAAGCTGACGAGTTCGTCGATAAGCCACATCATGCGAGTCTTCTGCCGGTTGCCTCTGGTACCGAGATCTCTGTAAGCCTCCAGGATGGCTTTGCAGACGGGGATGACGTCGTCGGAGGGGACCCAAGCGTCGAGCGGCACAGCCTCTGCGCATCTCTTGGGGCTAAAGAATCCGCCCACCAGCAGGTTGAAGCCAAATCTCCCGTCCTTCATGGCAGGCATGTAGGCGAGGTCATTGATGTGCGGGTGCTCGTAGAGATCATGCGAGCCCACGACGCACACGTTCCATTTTCTTGGCCTGCGCGGCACACAAACAAGCACACATGGATAGCTGTAGGCACCACGCCACAACAGAGGAAGAAGAAGAGGTGGACTCACAAGTTGGTGACGGCGGGGTTGCCGCGGGAATTGGCGGTGACGAAGGCGGAGAGCAGGTTGGTGTAGGGGCGGGTGTCGACGATCTCGTGGGGGTCGATGCCGGCAAGGGGGTTTCCGACGGGGTTGCGCACATTGTCCATGCCGCTCTGGAGGCTGGTGAGGCCAACGCGGCCGAGGCCCTGCATAATGGCCGGCACGTCTGGGAGGGTGACGCCCCGGATCTGCCAGTTCTGCCGGGTGGTCACGTCGGCGCAGCCGTCCTCGCCGTAGCCCTCCACCACGCTCGCCAGGTACCGCGTCTGCTCGCTCGTGGTCACGCCGTTGGGCAGCTTCAGCCGCATCATGAACCGCCCGTCTGCTCCCACACCACACAGCCGCCGCCATTGTCAAAGTTACAGACGGTCAACGGCATCGAGACACAACTCATACTTATCGCAATTGAATTAACCGGACTGATCCAGAAGATGAATTCGGTGATGAATGTTCATTAACCTAATCCAAAGAACGACAGCACATCCGACAGACGACCTTCATGATTGACTCTACGCATTGGGCAACAGGCGCACACTAATATCTGACCCTTGGCAACCAGCGAGAGCCAAGCCGCAACTGGTCTTCCCCGTCTTTTATTTTGTTTGGATACGGCACAGCTAAACATCTAGCTAATCTTCAACCGATTCAATACTTTTCTTACCCATCGGAGGGTAGATTTACTGGGCGGCGGACAAATAATGGGTACGAAAATATCTGAATCCGGAAACCCAAATCTAAGTTGTCGCTGATAACGAGAGTTAACGCTGATATTATATACTAATTTCTACTGCATAGGAACGATTACTGCTACGGCACAACAACGGAGATCTGAGGGACTCACACTGGTGCTTGCGTCGGTGGAAGAGGCCGAGCCACTTGAGGCGGACGTCGATGTCGTCCTTGTGGACCTTGGTCGCGTCGATCTCCTCCATCGACTTGGCGGCCAGCTCGCGGATGCCGTCCTCCAGCACCAGGCTCATGGGCTCCTTCGCCAGCTTCACCTTCTCCTGCGGGTTGATCCCCTCCCGGTACTTCTCCTTCAGCACCCAGTAGCCGCCCTCCCTCTCCTCCACTCTCGGCTCCAACCTCTCCTCCGCCACCCCAGCCGTCGCGGCCTCAGTTGCAGGGGTGACGGCCGCCGTGACCGTCAGCCTCCGCCTCGCGGATTCGCGCCGCGGGGAGGTCCGGGCAGGAGGAGCGAAGTGCTGCAGGGATGTGGAGGACGCCATTCACTACTGACTCGGTGGTTCGGACTTGTTCGGCCACACAAAAGGGCCGTGTTATAGCTGGATAGTGGGTTGGGATGCGACTCTTGGCTGTTTCAAAAGGCCAACTCCGCCTCCTGCACTCGAAAGTTTAAGGCGGTGCAGCAAGCGTACACCCGCGTATCCTTGTCATTGCTCGTTGGATGCTATGCAAAGCTCATTCTATTTAGCACCTTCAATGTTTATATATGGAGGCATGCTTAATTTATTCTTGTGGTTGATGATGGGGGAAGGAAAAATAGCAACAAGGATCAGCGGTCGAGGTGAACCGAGAACGTCCATATCTTCTTGGGCCATTTGGAACCTCTAGTTTCGATGCAAGGGAGGGAGCCATTCCAACGGTGATTTGGAAATGGATTGTCAGTGGATCCGACCCGATAAGAGGCAGGTTTGGTAGCAGTCGAATCCGGGTGTTGGCCGCCCAAGGTTTTTGTCCACTGGATAGTGCACAGAACGAGGATGGCTCCAGAGACTAATTAAAGGGCGAGGAGAACGCAGAGGTTGAGCGGCTCGAAGGGTGTATTAAGAGGCATCACCCGGTCACGTGCCTCATGCAACGCCGAGTTGTGTCATGGCCCCCACCACCGCCCCTGGTACGAAATGAGCCGGTAAGGGCGTGTTGTCGTGCACCCAATCAATTTCGCGTTGCGTATTCTTTGCTACGACAATATCTGTGGACCAGATTGTGTCGTGTTATGAAGTGATGCCACTAATTTTTAGGGAAAGAATTAATAACCAGGAAAAGAGACATAAGAGGTCACCGATGTCCGACGACCCTTTGGGCCTTCGCCGCTCTGCATGCATGCCAACACACAGCTCATCTCCCTCAGAACCCTTCGGTGGCACCTCGAGAAGCCAAACGCCTCATCATTGCTCTTCTGCGAACCCCTTCTTTCCTACTCGTCCCGCCTGCTTCTGCCCTCGTTAGGAGCCTGAAGCCGACTTGGCCTAGGTCGACGTAGTCGGTGAGAGAACCAAGGAGATCCTGGAAGCGGCACTTCGCTTGCGGTTGTCTTTCTTCAGCTTCTCCTTCTCGTTTGCTAGTTCCGGTAGCTGGTTCGAGGCTGTGCACCGCCGCGGAACTGGGCATGGAAGAATGCGAAAGCTGGGTGTTTGGCGTGCGCTCAACTTGCCGTCCGAAGTGAGACGAGATGTTAGAGTCGGCGGCTTCCCCCGGCAGATCTTGCAAAGGACCTGCTTCTCCCCTCGCCGGACGTTTCCGTTAGTGACCTCCTACCAGTCGGGCACTACCTCGTGGAAGTCCTGCAAGCAAATCAAAACTTCATCATGCATACCAGAAGGCCAAAAATTCTCAAAATGAGCCAATATCTCTACAAATATATATATTTGGGTTATTTATGGCTTCTATGTTGGGCTGACAGCCCATATTCAGTTGGGCATTTCAGTCCATAACTTACTTCTTCTTAATCTAATCTTAATATAAAATCTAATCTTAATTTATATTAGAGAGGATATAGTAGCTATAAAAAAAGGTAGAAAAATATAGCAACAGTTTTTGACGGTCACGAGATTCCAAAGAAAAGGAGAAAAACAAGATAGAAAAGAAAGAGAAAGATAGGGTAAAAGGAGAAAAACGAAGACAGAAAAGAAAGAGAAAGAAATGGAAGAAGACAAGGACAACACAAAGAGACTGTTCTCAATCATCTAGCAGTGCTTTCATCTCAGGTTATATCAGATCTATAATAGATTGTTACTGTGATTACTTGGGAAGAATTAGAGAGGATTTAAATATTATACACAATGACGTGATTTTTGTATCCCAATTATTCTCTTGTGATTGTTGCTAGGGTTTTGGGCAAGAGATTGAGATTTGTATATTCATTATTATTATAGTGGATTATCTCTAGTTTGTCTCCTGATTTTTACGCTTCACATTGAAGGAATTTTTCACGTATATCTTGATGTTTTATTTGATTGTGGTTCCATTTAATTCCGTTGTGTGTTATGATCTGCTAGTATTTGTTCATATATAAAAGTTTATTTCTCTTTATATCCCATCAACTAGTATCGGAGCAGAGTTGTAGTGATTTAATTTTGTATTTGAACATAGAGGCCGGTAATGTTTCTCGCATGATTAGTTTAAATGGAAACAATTGGATGATATGGAAACCAAGAATAGAATATCTTTTGTATTACAAAGATTTGTATGGACCTTTGCAGGGGATAATACAAAACCCACAACTATGACAGATGATGAGTGGAAGAGGTTAGATCAAAAAATAGTTGGGTTTATTCGACAATGGCTTGATGATAGTGTCTTTCATTATGTTTCTATTGAAAGTTCTACATATTCTTTTTTGGAAAAAATTGGAAGGTCTCTATGAAAGAAAAACAGTTGGTAACAAAGTTTTTTTGGTCAAAAAACTTGTGAACCTAAAATATAGAAAGGGTGCTTCTATTGCTGAGCATTTGAATGAAATGTAGAGTATCACTAACCAGTTATCCTCTATGAAAATGTCTTTGATGAGTTGCAGGCATTGTTACTTCTCAGTTCATTACCAGAAAGTTTGGAGACACTAGTGGTTTCCCTCAGTAATTCTGCGTCAGATGGTGTTGTCATCATGAGTCAAGTAACAAGTAGTTTATTGAATGAGGAGTTGAGAAGAAATAATTCAGCAACATCTCAGAATGATTCACAGGTACTTATCTTAGAGAATATAGGAAGGTCAAAGTCTAGAAGCAGTTCATGCATAGGTAGAAACAAGTCAAGATCAAGAAAAGATATTGTTTGCTATAATTGTGATAACAAAGAACATTACAAGAATCAATGTAAGCAACTTAAGAAGAGCAAGAAAAAGGAAAAAGAAGTGGAGTCTACAGAGTCAAAAGATAATATCACAACTATAGTGCAAGGTGGTAATTATTTGATTTTGTCTCTTTCTGATGATTTTTTTTCTTATGTGTGTCAGGATCTTGAGTGAGTGATTGATAAGTTTGAAAATTTTGGTGTTGCCAAGATGGGCAACTGTGGCACAACAGATATTATTGGAATGGGTGATATTCATTTAAAGACCAACCTTGGCTGCAAGTTGGTACTTAAGGATGTGAGGCATGTGGTTGACTTGAGGCCGAATTTAATTTCAGTTGGAAGATTAGATGATGAAGACTATGATAGTAGATTTCTCAAAAGGCAATGAAAGCTTAGTAAGGGTTCTCATGTTATAGCTAGTGGAAAGAAATGTCACACCAGATTACAAGCCAAAACTTGTGGTGAGCAGTTAAATGTTACAAAGAAAGACCTCAGTATAGAGTTGTGGCATAGGCGACTGAGACACATAAGCAAGAAGGGACTGTAAGCTCTTTCCAAGAGAGAGGTATTGCCAGACCTCAGAGGTACACATCTGAACCCTTATATTGATTGTTTGGTTGGTAAACAATACAGAGTTTCATTTGCTAGTCCTATTATGTCTAGAAAAATGCATGTCTTAAACCGTGTTTATACAGATGTATGTGGTTCTTTGAGGACAAAAACTCTTGGTGGATTTGTTAATATTCTTGGTATAAGTGTTGCACTTTATTTTGTCACTTTTATAGATGATTTTTCTAAGAAAGTTTGGACCTATGCTTTGAAGACCAAAGATTATGTGATTAATATTTTCATAGAGTTTCATGCTAGGGTTGAAAGAGAGACAGAAAGACAATTGAAATGCATAATATCATATAATGGTGGTGAGTACACATAATCATTTAATGATTATTATAGATCACATGGGATCAAACATGAGATGACAGTTCCTAGTACACTTCAGCATAATGCAATTGCAGAGAGGATTAACCGTACCATCATGGAAAAGATCAGATGTATGCTTTCACAAGCTAAGCTACCCAAAAGGTTTTGGGATGAGGCTTTGAGGACTGCAGTTGATGTGATCAACTTATCACCATGTACAACGCTAGATGGTAGTGTTGTAGAGCATGTATGGTTAGGGAAAGATGTTTCCTATAGACATTTGAGAGTGTTTGGTTGTCGTGCATTTGCATATGTTCTAGACAATGAGAGGTCCAAGCTGGATGGTAAGACTAAAGAATGTATTTTTCTTGGTTACTCACATGATCAGTTTAGTTATGATCCAGAAAAACAGAAGGTGTTTAGAAACAAAGATGTGGTCTTTTTTTAGGATCAAACCTTTGAAGATTTGAAGAAGAAGACACAAGCCAAGACTTCGGAAGAAGGATTAGCATATTGTGACCCAGTTACTCCTCCAGTATATTATGGTGATGGGGGAGATGTGCAGGAAGATGGTGTAGAGCCTGATGTTGGATCATCTGCAGGATATGTTGAGCAAGAAGAAGTTGGAGAGCAACTTCCTATAGAACCTCAGTTGAGAAAATATTATATATAACGTCAACCTTCCAGAAGATACTCTACAGATGAGTATATGATGCTTATTGATACAGGTGAACCATAGAGTTACTAGGAAGCAATTGAAAGTGAGTAGAAAGAGAAGCAATTGCAGCTTTAGAAAATTCACACAGATGATAACGAAGCAGACATGTTGACAAAGACCTTACCAAAAGAAAGACAGGAGATATGTCGACAGTTGGTCGGCATGGTTTCACATTGACAACCTATATTCAGCCCAAGGTGGGCTTTTTCAGCCCGCAGCTCACCTTATCTTAACCTAACTCTAATTTATATTAGGAGGGGTGTAGTGACTATAAAAAGAGGTAAAAAATGGTAGCAACATGGCAGTTTTTAGCAGTCACGGTATTCCAAAGAAAAGGAGAAGAACAAGGTAGAAAAGGGAGAGAAAGAAAGGGAAGAAGACAAGGATCATTGTATTCTCAATCATCTAGCAATGCTTTCATCTCAGGTTAAATCAAATCTATAGTAGATTCTTTCTGTGATTACTTGGGGAGAATTAGTGAGGATTTAGATATTGTGCACAGTGACGTGATCCTTGTATCCCAGTTATTCTCTTGTGATTGTTGCTAGGGTTTTGGGCAAGAGATTGAGATTTATATATTCATTATTATTATAGTGGATCATCTCTAGTTTGCCCCGTAGTTTTTACCCTTCATATTGAAGGAGTTTTTCACGTATATATTGGTGTTCTATTTGATTGTGGTTCTATTTAATTTCGCTGTGTGTTATGACCTATTAGTATTTTTTCATATACAAAAGTTTATTTCTGTTTATATCCCATCACTTATAAATGGAGCCTTAATCCTCTAATCTATTAAATTCATTTACAAATAATAGTATTTCTATTGTTTTAATATATTGTTATTATTTAATTCGTTAAAAGATATTAATTAAGTCACTCTACAATTATACTCGATGAGGAATAATATCGATTAAATATTTAAGTAAAAATTACAATGATATTTTACCTTGAGATATTAAGTTAATTCTAAATTATCCCATCTTTCGTTCTCAATTATTTTCCTTCTTCCAAAGTATTTGTTGTATCCTTTTGGTAGATTAAGGTTTTGGTTAATTTTAAGAAAATCATATAATCTTATGATGATATGATAAAATATTTATCAGTAAATTAATTAATTAATATTTATCATATAATCCTCTCTTAGACACCTTTTCTCCTTAGAAATCAACAAAATTTCTAAGACTTCGTTCTCAAGATATCTAACATATGTCGAAGCAAATACATTTGTGTATCCTTCCCAAGTAATTAGCATCTACTTGAGACTTCAAGTTGGTCATTTTTCTCCTCCTTTGACTTACTTTACTAATGTGTTATTGTAGCAATGCATAAAAGTTGGATTGCAATGGAAAATTATAGGCATAAAGAACCATGATTTCATGTTTTGATGCAACAGCCTCTTCCGATTGTTCTGTGGAGTGTTCTACCTATCAATCGCAAAGAATCTTTCCACCCTCATTCTTTTCGGTCTTCGCCACCCTCCGCAACTTTCCATGCCATCCTTGTTTGTTTTCTTGTTGCTGGTGAAAGGAATCGAAGTCTAGTCCATAGCGATTCTACATGATTCGGCTCTGCACACCGTAATGATGATGGCTTGGTCTCTCGATCAACAATGAAATTGAGATGTCATCGTGTAGATATGTGCATTATTGGATGTATTGTTATGTTTCGTAAAGCATCAAAATTGATGGATCTGAAGTTGGAAGAACGGAGTTGAAAGGAGGATTCGTGATCTATTTACCGTGGAGATTCGTGTTGAGGCTATGATTTGCTATTGCTACTTTGGTTGGAACCTCTACATATTTGTGCGCGTACGTGTTTGTTCTTCTGGTCGCTCTCCTCTTACTCGTTTGGTCGGTGTCCAATCTTGGGCGGCTGCGTTCCATGCTTTGGAAAAGGAGGAGGGTGGTCGGATTCCTCGTGCGATCCGGTTTTGGCCTTCGTGGCACGCGAAGTATTTAGTGGCGAATGGAGTAGATCCCGTCGTCCTCGAGAAAGAAGAGTAGCGTTCAAGCTAGGATCGTCGTCGCACACAAGGTGTTTGTTCTCGGGACCACAAGAAAACAAGGCCAACAGCAGCAATGTAGAACTTCGATGGGCATGTTCTGGCTGCAATCACTTGGGAAAATACTTGCAGGACGGTGATGAAAAGCCGAACGGATTGTTGCACACAAGGTGTTTGTTCACGGAACTACAAGGGAGAACTCGGATCGAGAAGCTCACGCGTACAGGCCAGTAGCAATGGAGAGAAGATGAAAATGTGTACTTGGACCAACAAGTTTAGGCTAAGCAAGTGGTGGAGTTCTCCATGGTAAGAAAGATGACAGGACGGAGGGGAGAAAATTAGGTGGAGCCTCTGGTCAGCAGTGTGGGATGACGGAACACATCGAAAGGAATTATCAGGTGAAATTGAATAGAAAAGATGTGTTGGCTCCAATGAAGAAACCAAAACCGGCTTTGGTATATTGCGGGTTACATCAAAGGTTTTGCTTGCCGTTTGAGGCCATGCATTGTACATATGTATTTTGTCTGATCGATAGTTTCTATGCAAGTTGTAAGAGACAGAATGGGACTCATGGGGAGGATATTAAATGGGTAAAAGCAGAGGAAAAGGATATGATGATTTAGCGAGTTCGAAACAAGGAAGGTTTTAATCTCTCTCTCTCTCTTTTTCTAGTCCACCTAAATGCTTGGAATCTAAGATATATTAGAAATGTTCCATCCCATTGCAGCGATGGAGAACAGGATGCAGAGGACGGATCGCTACTCCCAGTCTTGTCCACCACTATCTGTGACAGAGATGGAGATGCCATGCAACGAACCATCTGTCAATTTTCCTTGTTGCTCAGGTTCTTGAAGTGGACAAGAAGTTTCCTTCAATTTCAAAGTATTATTATTATTATTATTCTTTGACTCAAATAATGCTTTAAATAAACAAAATAAAAGAAAAATAATAATAAAAATGGACCATTGTGTTGGGTGGTCCACTACTACTCCCACTCGGCTGTTACCACTCACCACGCTTCCTTCGCTCCATATATTGAGCAATCCTCCTCTCTTCGGAATGAGAGAGGCGGCCACCTTCTCTTGGCCGACCATCTAATCGGAGCCAGAACAACGAGTTAGAAGCCCTTCGTTTCCTTCGTCTTCGCTCGAGCCATGGTCGACGTCGATCGCCACATGGGGGGCCTCACGCCTGCCCACGCCGCCGGCCTCCGCCGCCTCTCCGCCCGCGCCTCTGCAGCCCCCACATCTTCCACCGCAGCCGTTTCCCACCATGGCGGCCTCCTCTCCTTCCGCCCCCTCGCGGAGTCCGTCCTCGCACGTCTCCGCGCCGCCTCCGTACCCATCCGCCCTGGCCTCTCCGATGCTGAGGTCTCGCGCCTCGAGGCCGACCTCGCCGTCTCCTTCCCTCCGGACCTCCGCGCCATCCTCGTCCTCGGGCTACCCTCCGCCCCCGGCTTCCCCGACTGGCGCCCCTCGTCCTCCTGCACCGACCTCCTACTCCGCGCTTCCCTCGACGTCCCCCTCGCCGCTGCTTCCCTCCAGGTCGCCCGCGGCGCCCTCTGGCCCCGCTCATGGGGTCCCCGCCCTTCCGACCCCGACCGCGCCCTAGGCGTCGCCCGCGCCGCCCTCCGCCGCTCCCCCTTCCTCATCCCCGTCTTCGATCGCTGCTACATCCCTTCCCGCCCCTGCCTCGCTGGCAACCCCATTTTCTACGTCGACGAGCACCGCGTTTTCTGCTGTGGCTTCGATCTCGCCGATTTCTTCCAGCGCGAGCCAGCCTTCCCTCCGGCTTCCCGACGTGATCCCCACCCGATCAGCTCTTCCGACCCTCTGCTCCCGCCTCCCCCACCGCCCCCCGCTCGGCGGAGCCTGGACGCCGTCGCAGGGAGGACACCCAGGTGGATCGAGTTCTGGAGCGACGCTGCCTCCGATCGCCGCCGCCGGAACTCGTCCTCATCGGCGTCCTCGTCCTCCTCCGGCTCGGCGTCACCGCGGCTGTCGGACCCGCAGCGGTCCGTGGATATCCGTTCTCAAAGGCGTCTGCCGGGCTGGGTCGACTGCTACCTCGACCAGATCGGGTCGGTCCTCCGATCGTCCGGCTGGGGCGAGTCGGACGTCATCGAGATCGTCGGCGTGCCACCATCGAGGTTCTTCGACGGCGATGTTGAAGCGTCGACCGCGGCCGCGATCGACTCCGAAGCGGCGCTTGACGCACTGCTGGTGAATGCGGACCGCTGCTCCCAGTCGCTCCGGCGAGCAGGGTGGAGCCCCGACGAGGTCTCCGACGCGCTGGGTTTCGACTCTCTGCGGCGAGAAGGGAGGCGGGAGAGACCTCCGATGGAGTTACCCCCCGAGATCGCCGCCAAGGTCGAGAAGCTCGCCGAGGCGGTGGCCACATCCTGACGGGCGGTGTCCAGATCCCCCACCTGGCTTCTTCTTTGTTATTATTTTAAGCACCTTTGTAACGGTCGACTATGTATCGTACGGGAAGCCGTATGAAAAGGGGGCGGATGACGTGTACAGAACAACAACTGCAACACGGAAGTTATCAAATGGACAATATCCATGAATCGTGAAACCGATCAAACAATATTATGAACTCAACTCATGGGAGGTCTCTCTCTCTCTCTCCATTTGGATGTATGTTTTTTGAGCATTCCTTTCTCTCATGTCAACTCGTAAGGGAACTCATTAGCATGCTATGAAACACTATGGGACACCGAAACATGATGAATGCAGGGGGGGGGTGTCAACTGTGGCCTGCAAGATCAATCAATTGGCTGGTGAACTTGAATGTTCGAGTACCCTTCTTTTGGTTAAAGAAGGAGAGAGTGGGGCGCCACTGGCAACGCTACCACACGCGCGGGTCTGATTGATTTCGAAAAAAGAAGAGCGAGACCCCACCCACTTTTATGTCGCCATGAAGCTTGTGCTGCGGATTCCCTCCCTTTTTTGGTTTCTCTTTCTTATTGGCTGCTGTTCGCTACTGCAGTGCGGGGGCTGGCAGCTTCGGGGAGCTCAGCCATGGAGTGCAGGATCAAGGAAAGGCGAAGGCACGGCGTTCTCGGACGACGACACAGAGGACACCAGCAAGTGTGTGTTGTCTTCGAAAGTAGCAACCGCAAGCAAACTAAACAAATGGCGGAGAGGACCATCATCGTTGTCATCAACGTGTTCGACGCTTTGCCTCGCCGCCCGTTGCCTGCTGGCACGTGGGAGTGCTTGCGCTAAGTTTAACTCTCTTCCCTATCACCGGTTCTCGCAGCACGGAGATTTAGAGCCAAAAAATGACCATTGACACGCTCGCTATCAGAGAGGCAGGGAGCTGTGCCTTTTCTTCATAGTGTGGTGGCGGCCGCCGAGAGTGAGAAAAGCGTGGGAATTGCCGCCTCAAAACAAAGTATCGCTTTCCTTGATCGCCACGAGCCTATCCGACTTTCTAATCTTTTCAAGCAGATGGACCACCTCGACATTGACGAAGCAAACCGAGGTGAAATAGGAACGACCAAGGCGGACTTCAAGAGGGGAAACAGTGGAGGCCTCATATCTCTCGGTAGAACGGGCACTCATCTATCTTTTCCTAGGGTTTCTCAACCATTGTTTTACACTAAAAAACTTAAATAAATATAATTATACTTCATCTTTGTCAATTGATTGTTAACATAATATGTTAATATTAATACCCTTCAAAATATTATGTATTCCTCATATCAATTAATTTTTCTGTATTTATCTATTTAAATTGAAGTTTTCAATGATAGAA